GAAATCCTATAAACCCATAAACCCTACACGAAATATTATAAACTCATTAACCCTAAACGAAATCCTATAAACCCATATTACCCTAAACGAAACCCTATAAACCCATAAACCCTAAACGATATCCTATAAACCCATAAACCCTAAACAAAATCCTATAAACCCCTTAAGCCCTAAAAAAAATCAAACCCGAAACATCCCTAAATCCTAAATGGACCTCGCAGGCCGTCTGAGGCACCCACTTGAAGTCTGCTGAGGCCGGTTCGTCGCCGGTAATGCCAGCCACAGCTCCTCGAAACACATCGTCGCGGTTACCCTAAACCGGTTTAGTGGCTTAGGGGTTTAGGGTTTAGGGTTCAGGGGTTGAGGGGGTCTTAACCCTAAAATCCTAAACCGCGGACACCCGGAACTTAACAATGCAACTTCACGGAGGGAGGCCTCCAAAGAAAGCGTAGTTTTGGGGCTCTACCTCTTCGGAGACGTCACCAGAAAGCTGGGCCCGAGACCTCGAGAAATGGCCGAAGTGCCTTCATCATTTTCTGGTTCCCCGTTAGGGTTATATTAAGAAGTGTCATGTTTAATCCTTATTGAGTTTTATTCCAACAAAAATGTGAAGTTGTGGCCAACACCAGCTCACAAGCAGGCAAAATCAAGCTCGCCGGTGTTGCTGCTCGTGGATCCTAATGCAGAGGCCTTCATAATTAGAGCAGGGTGTTGGGCTCCTTTAGAGTATTATTATAAGAAGGAACCCCAAGACTGATATAGGTACTTAATTAGGCTCTAAACCCTAAACGCTACACTATATTAAGGCGAGGACTGAGGGAAACGATCCTGCCAGACACAGCGACAACGGTGCCTAACTCACGGTTCAACTGCCTGAAAGTAGACTCGTGCACGTGGGATGAACGAGGGTTTAGGGTTTAGGGTTTAGGGAGAAGGTCGCAACCCGCAAGACCCCTCGAAGGAATCCCTTCACGTACCTGCATCTCACCGTCGGAGCCCCTGAGAACCGAAACGGCCACGTTGGCAGTACAGGGGCTTTCATATACCTAGACTAAGGCTCTAGGGTAGACTATAGTATGTTTGTTACTGTAGGACTCATCCGGCATCCAATAGGAATGACTTTTACCGACCATTCCGACCCCTCATTTAGAAGAAAGCGTCCTCCAATCATGTCTGCGATCATCACGTCCTCATGGGACAGCGTCAGGGCTCGACAAACGAGCATCTCGACATGAACTGCCGCCACTTACAAGTGTGTAAGGGCCCAATGTTGCGAGATAAAGCATGAGCTACTACTACTACACCCTTACAGCGCAGCTTACGGCTTGCGGCAGTCGAAAGCAAACCATAGTAATCGTCTGGAAGCATTAGCCCACAAATTCCTGAATCCAGATTTTCTGCCCGGTCAAACAGAAGGATTTTGGTTGAGAGTTCAGAGGCTGCCGGCGTTTTAGACTTCAGGGGTCTGAGGTTTAGGGTTTTTTTTGGGGTGCTTGCCGGCTGCACGACCAGATACGAGAGCCTCGCCCGAATAGAAGCGCAGCCAAATCTAAAGCCCAAAAACATACTGCCCTTCTCAAACTAAGAGGACCCTAACCCTCAAGCTCAAAAGCTTGAATGCTACAGTACCCTTATTCGCTCCATTGATTTAACCCTGAACCCTGAACCCTGAACCCTAAACCCTGAAACCTAGACCCTAAACCCTAAACCCTGGATCACCGGACCCTTATAATCATCGTAGCCAAAGAGCCGCCGTCGAGGCCAACTCGGCCAACAACGTGCGGCGAAAGGCCTCCTCCTGTGGAGGGAGCTTTGATCTAAGAACAAGGGTTTAGGGTTTAAGGTTTAGGGTTTAGGAACAAGGTTCGCCAAGGGGCCTACAGGCTGTATACAGGTTTCATGGGTGTTCTGGTCTTGGAATATTGCAATAGACTACAGCGTCGTATGGCATAGTTCAGTATAGCTTGTTCAAGTTTGTACACGGCTTATTATACAGCAAACCCGAAGCCCTCAACAAGTATAGCACGGTACACTATGGCAACATAGTTTGGTATGGTTTTGTTCAGAGTAAGTCCTTTTCAGCAGCTGGTTCAGAACAGGACAAAGTTAGGCATTGTCTCGTAGAGTAGAGTATATTATAGTACAGCATGTAACTCTACAGTCTAATCTGGTATAAGAAAGCGTTGTACAGAAGTACAGAATTGTACTGTCTTGCTTTGTATTGAGTTGCATTATACAGTAAGTTGAAGTATAGTACAGAACAGAGAATAGTGCATGGCTGTACCGTGTACCGTGCAGCACAGCAAAGTGCGGTATTCCACAGTCATCGTCGAGTCTGTTCTAGTCTAGATCTGGTCGAATCATATCCTGTCTAGTTTCGTGCAGCACAGTATAGAGTATGGTATATCCGAGAAGCACCTAGACTCCAATTCTCTGAACATGTACCGCCTCGATCAAGGAGGAAGCCAGATCTACCAGCCTCGGAAACACATGTGGAGCGCTTCCTTCAAAGGTTTAGGGTTTCGGCTTTAGAGCTAGGCTTTAGGAGGGTTTGGGGGCTGGCATTCCTGAGGGGTGTCAACGCTCCGGCTTTTCAGCGCAGGGCTTTGGTTTCTTGGGGGTCCCTCTGTTGTGGAAATAAGCCCCAAAAGACCATCCTTACCATGGTTTTGGGACCTAACTCAACCCCAAACCCTAAACCCTAAATTTTACTATCGTAGTATACGTGGACCCTTGGTACCGATCCGAAAGCCTACGCCCTAACCCCGAGCTTCTGAGGATCTGGGATTTTCAGTGGAAAGTTCAGGGCCGCCGGCCTTTCGGGGTACTTTGAGGTTGTTAGGATGTAGATTTTGGTGTGTAGGGTCTTAGGGCTTTTAGGTCTGCAACGCACGGTAGGGGTTCAGAGTTTTGGTGTTTTAGGGTTACTAGGGCCTGCATCTATTCTTGGGAGCCTTCGAAGGTTGGGGTCTCAGCGGGGCCAGCCCCCGAGCCGAGGGGTAAATTACCCATAGGCCCCATAGTAGTTCCTTTTTGAAGCGTATATTTAGGATCCTATTATGTGGCTTATATGTAGGATCCTATTACGCGGCTCATTTTTAGGATCCTATTTTGTGGCTGATAGTTAGGACCCTATTAGGTAATCCCAAAAGGAACTACTACGGGGCC